AGCAGTTGTCTAGCCAAAAATACAGATCTTAACACATGTGTGCAAAAATTAACACATTGTTCCAGTCCCTAAGTGGTTGAAGCACTTTATTTTCAACTTCTTTCTCCTACTTTTCTGCTTTCTTTTAAGCTGTTTTTTTCTTAGGCCCCCAATCACACCTATATTTTAGGTGTGATTAGAGATTCCTGCATCAGGAACTTGTGATTTCCTGCAGCAGGAATCCCTAATCTGCCATTTACAAGCAGCAGCTGGCACCCATTCAAGTTATTTAGAGGGTGAAAGCCGCTGCATTGTAACACAGGCACGCCGCATAATATGTAATACAATTACATGCCATTAGGAAATAATCACTCTCCCGATCCCAATCACAACGATTGCTAGAAAAAGCTAAGAACTAAACACATGAGCAGGAAAGTGATATTTAGTTGTATAAAACAGGCCCAATGTGCTATGATTGCTTTGGAAGCAAGAAAGCCAAATTTAAATCTTGTTAGCAGGTACATAGTATAATAGCTGGCTGTAAACTGAAATGTATGGGTCATTTTATTAAATAACAGTTGTTAAATGGCTAAATGGCCATCACAGCATTTGTATATGCTAGATATTTTTACTAGATGAGGAACTTTCTATTAACCTCTTGCCGTCCGCCCGTTAAGAAAAAACGGACGGACGGCTGACTCCTATCTGCTGGTTGCCGTCGCCAGACGGCATTTTTTTCCTGCGCGCGCACGGGCAGGAGAGACCCGCTTGTTACTACAGCCGTTAACGGCTGTTTCACATAAAACCCAAAAAGTTTTTAAGCTATTTTATATGCTGATTAAATCACTTCCAAGGGATGTTGCTCCTTGATGTTTACCGGTTTTAGCCTCCTGCAGAATCAGCTGTTCCCCTGAGCTCTGGTCCTGGTATCCTGTATTAGGTGACTCCTTTCCCTTACACGGTCCTATGGAGCCACCCTTGTGTGCTAGTAAACTGAGTGTGTCTCCACAAACATACAGACACAGCAAGGAAAGACATTACCCTCCCCCCTGCTTTCCCCTCCATCTAGTAGATGGAGATCTGCTGGAATCTGCACTCTCAGTTGTGATCTTGGACAAGAAGTTCAGGGAAGCTGAGGGAGTTGGAGCCAGCTGTCAAGAAACAGGGGAATTTATCAGAACTGGAGCAGACAAAATCTGGAGCAGATTTGTACTGCAGCCAAGCAGCTTCTCTGTCTCATTTTCAAATCTTACCTGTGTAAACTGAAGAGAGAAGCTGATTGGTTGCAGTGCAAATCTGCTCTAGATTTTGTCTGCTCCGGTTTTGATAAATTCCCCCAATGACTGTAAGTGTTTGGGCAAAAATATAAAGAAATACTTTGCTGAGCAATGTATTTTTTTATCTGGGTTCATAATTAAAAATATTTGAGAGTTGAATACTACTTTAAAGGAAACCTATGGCAAGAAAAATATGAAGGCTGCCATTGCTGGCCTCCTTTATCAAATACTAGTTGCCTGACAAGTAATTCTTTAACTTTGGCATTTTACTGAGTTACAGACCTGGAAAATGCATGCAGCCAGTGAAGTCAGTACTCTCTGGCTGCATACATGTTTTGAGTGCGTAGCTCCTAATGAAACCTTTAAATCAACATGACAGCCAAGCAACTAGCATTTTCAAAAACAAGCATCATCCATGGAATATATATATATATATATATACACACAGATCAGCCATAACATTATGACCGCTGAGAGGTAAAGTGAAAAACCTTGATTATCTTGTTACAATGGCACATGGAAGTACATGGGATATATTAGGCAGGAAGTGAAGTTTTTGTTCCCGAAAGTTGATGTGTTGGAAACAGAAAAATTGGGCAGGCATAAGGATTTGCGTGACTTTGACAAGGTCCAAATTGTGACGACTAGATGACTGGGTCAGAGCAACTCCAAAACTGTAGCTCTTGTGGGATATTCCCTGGGCAATATTCTGTTGGGGAACCTTGGGTCCAGCCATCCATGTGGATTATACTTTGACACATACCACCTACCTAAACATTGTTGCTGAACCCTTCATGGAAAGGGTATTCCTTGATGGCAGTGACCTCTTTCAACAGGATAATGCGCCCTGCCACACTGAAAATATGGTTCAAGAATGGTTTTAGGAACACAAGAACAAGTTTGAGTTGATGACTTGGTCTCCAAATTCTCCAGATCTCAATTCAATCGAGCATCTGTGGGATGAGCTGGAAAAACAAGTCCGATCCATGGAGGCCCTACCTCATAGCTTACAGGACTTAAAAGAATCTGCTATTGATGGCTTGGTGCCAAATACCACAGCATACCTTCAGAGGTCTACTGAAGTTCATACGTCGACGTGTCAGAGCTGTTTTGGTGGCAAAAGAGGGACCTACTCAATATCAGGCATGTGGTCATAATGTTACTTCTGATCGGTGTGTGCCATTAACTGCCACCTAAAAAAATATTTTAGATGGCAGTTAAACACTGCAATACATACATTGGTTTTTAGAATTTTTCCTCCTAAATAAACAGTGTTGTTCCTCTCTGTCTCTGTAAAACATGCCTACCGTAGTTTCCTATTCGGATGATTTCACATTTGAGTTATATAATCCATAATTTTTCCCACGTATGCCTTTCATGTATGAGTATACTATTGCCATAAACAGTGGCAAACAGAGAGCAGTGCACCCCAGGCATGTAAACACAGCAGAGAGTTCACTTTAATTTACAGACCTGCCAAGCACACACTTCTGAAGTCAAGAGGGATCCTGTCTCTGGAATTAGCAAGCTCATGTCTTGAATTACAGTTTTAGGGAGAAAACATCTTCTGCTTCCAGTTTTCTTTAAACATTCGGAAACAGTCTGTCTGCACAGAGAGAGCTGAGGGGATCAAACAGCAGATCCATTTCTTGCGCAATAAAATGAGGAGCAAGAATAAGAAACATTGCTGTCAAATTAGGACAAATTATCTACAGAATGGGGAATGTGGGCTGTGATCTGAGGATGCTGTGCAACTACAAGTCCCAGCAAACATGCTCCTTCTCAATAACTAGAGATCCCCACATCCCCAAAAGTAAACCAATCTATATACACATCACATACCCTCCTATTAAGATTACAAATGTATTACTACTAAGGTAGACACAAACGTGCATAGTGTACAGATGGGTTATAGTACATGAATGGCATACTAAGCAGTAGGCTGCTTTTATCATCTATTTCCAGGTACTTTTATGAATGGAAGCGCCTGCAGGCAAGAAGAAACCTGTTCAGATAAAGCCTGTCTTGTTTGCTAAAGATATTAAATTCTGAACACTTCTCTTAATTTGTATCAATGCATATTGCCTTGTATGTCACCCAGCAATGCTAGGTAATTCTTCCTTAGCGCAATGACCTAAATCTGGATTTGATGTAAATTGCTAAATTATTTTTATGGCAGTAGATGATCTGTGATCACAAGTTAGGTGGTGCTAATAGTAGAGACAAATGTAACAGTGCATACAAAATACAGACACATACAAATAAATGTAGTAATGTGCATTGCAGTAAATGATCTGTGATCACAGGCTTATTGCAGTTACTTGTAGAGAAAATTGTAACAGTGTATAAGACACAAATAAATGTATCAATGTACATTGTGAATGCCTATTGCAGTAGATGATCTGTAGCCACAAGTTAGGTGCTGTTACTTGTAGAGAAAACTGTAACAGTGCATAAGGCATACAAATAAATGTAGTAATGCACATTTGGGGGAATTTATAAAAACTGGAACAAATCTGGAGCAGATTTGCATTGCAACCAATCAGCTTCTATCTCTCATTTTCAAATCTTAACTGATCAAACTGAAGGGAGATGCTGATTGCCCTAGACAACTCCTCCAGATTTTGTCTGCTCCAATTTTGATGAATTCCCCCCATTGTATATATCCATTGCAGTAGATGATCTATGGTCACAAAGTAGGTGCTGTTACTTGTAGAGAAAAATGGAACAGTACATAAGACATACAAATAAATGTAGCAATGTACATTGTGTATATGCATTGCAGTAGATGATCTGTGCTCACAAGTTAGGTGCTGTTACTTGTAGAGAAAAATACAACAGTGCATAAGACACAAATAAATGTAGCAATGTACATTGTATATATCCATTGCAGTAGATGATCTGTGCTCACAAGTTAGGTGCTGTTACTTGTAGAGAAAAATACAACAGTGCATAAGACACAAATAAATGTAGCAATGTACATTGTATATATCCATTGCAGTAGATGATCTGTGCTCACAAGTTAGGTGCTGTTACTTGCAGAGAAAACTGTAACAGTGCATAAGACATGCAGATAAATGTAGCAATGTACATGATAAATATCTATTGCAGTAGATGATCTGCGTTTTGCATATTACATTATATTTGATGGAAAAAGCAGCAGTGCATAAAAATACAGACATATAAAAGTTGCTGAGAGCAGTAACGATGTGCATTGTAAATGTCTATTGCAGTAGATGATCTGTGCCTGCATGTTGCAGTATATTTGTCGGGGAAAATACAAAACGTGTAGAAGCTCTAAAGCTGTATAAAAACAAGGCTGACCATTTGCAGTAAAATGTTGAATGACAGTCAATAAAGGTAGATGATCTATGTTCACACCTTGTGTGTGCTTTACAAATCAGCTCATACAAGATATACATATTAATAAATACATTCTGCTAATGTTCTTTGCAGTAGCTGGCCAGACAATTGCAGGGTGATAGCAAGCAGGAGGTGACTGAAATGTGATCATGTATTTGCTCTACCTTCAGAAATCCACGTTATGGCTCACAGTACTCACAGGGGGGAATGAACTACACTCCGTTTATATATTAGACTAGGCAGTTGCACAAATGCTGTCAGAGGTGGCATGACGCCAGCCAGTGACTTGTCAAGGCAGATATCTCAGCCCCTTGATAAAATAAGGAGGAGGGAGATATAAATATTGTCAGTCCTCTTTCGCCTGGTGTCTCTCCTCTAAAGCCTTCCTGAAGACAAGGCAAAGGGAGAACAGTCATCTGTTGACTACAGCTGGACTAGATCAGCGCTGAGCTCCTAAAGCAGCACTATGGGCGTCTCTATACTGGGATACTACGGGCAAGAATTCAATTTGGGCAATGGCAGCACTTTAGACAATGCCCCCAGTGAGGTCCCCTCTCTGTTCCTCACTGTCTCCCCTAATAACAGCAGCAGCAGCTTCCTCACCAAGTCTGTGAACAGCTCAGACCTCCTGACCAGGGATGAGGAGCTGGCTAAGATAGAGATAGCTGTGCTTGCTGTCATCTTTGTGGCTGCTGTCTTGGGCAATTGCAGCGTCTTGCTGGGGCTCTACAAGTCCAAGAAGAAAATGTCCAGGATGCATTTGTTCATAAAGCACCTGAGCCTGGCTGATCTGGTGGTGGCTTTTTTCCAGGTGCTTCCACAGCTCTGCTGGAAGATCACTTACCGCTTCTATGGTCCAGACTTTTTGTGCCGGATAATAAAGCATCTCCAAGTGTTTGGGATGTTTGCCTCAGCCTACATGCTCGTTGTAATGACTGCTGATCGCTATATAGCTATTTGTCATCCTCTGAAGACTCTCCACCAGCCTACAAAGAGGTCCTACCTGATGATCGGCAGTGCCTGGACCATCAGTTTCATCCTTAGCACACCTCAGTATGGGATCTTCCACCTGAAGGACCTAGGGGACGGGGTGTATGACTGCTGGGCTGACTTCATCAGCAGCAAAGGAATAAAGGCTTATATCACATGGATTACTATAAGTATCTTCGTGGTGCCCGTCATCATCCTGCTGACCTGCTATGGTTTTATTTGCTACAATATCTGGAGGAACATTAAGTGCAAGACCAAGAAAGATGAGTCCATTGGCAAGAGGAGCAATGGATTACTTTCCACGTCTGTCAGCAGCGTGAAGACCATCTCTAGAGCCAAGATCAGGACAGTGAAGATGACTTTCGTGATTGTTACAGCCTATATCATCTGCTGGACCCCATACTTCACCATCCAGATGTGGTCAGTCTTTGCGGATAACACCAACTGGATAGGTAAATAGAAATGTTCTTCAAAGTGCTAGATTGAGGTTTGGCTTCTGTTACATCCCATCAACAAAACATGTTTGCTTTTTTGCTAGACAAATAGTTTTACAGTGATAACTTAAACTGGGAAGAGAAAGCATCTATAGAACAACAAGTTCCAGAAAGTCCAACTTAACCTCTGCTATAGTTGTAGTAGGTGACAATGCTAT